TGGGGGGGAGGGGGAGCGGGATGGCGAGCACCAGGAAGGGGACGTGAGGTCCCCGAGCAAGCAGCCCGCGTGCGCGCGCGACGCACATGCCCGTGCACCCGCATGCACGCACCGAGCCCACCCCCAGAGTCGAGCACAGGGACGGGAGGCAGGCAGGTGGGGCAGGCGGGAGTGCGACAAAAGAGAACACGACACACGAGAAAACACACAAAACAAAGAAACGTGCAGTTAGCAGCAATCCACAGGCGCTCAGCAGCAGCAGCCAGCGGGGCCCAGCGGCGCAAGAGGCCGGATCGGCCAGGGCAGGGGTGCAGCCCTGGCAGCGAGGAGGGGCGCAGGGCTCGGCCAGGGATGCCCGAGGGGTAGGAACACGCGGAGTGGGGGGTCCCTTCCCACCTCCCTCCCACAGCGCTGAGGGGGCCTGGAGGGCGGGGTCACTCACCCTGGGACTGCTGAGCGGACTTGTGGAGAGGCCTGAGGACGCACCGCTGATGGACCGCGACCTGGGGGGAAAGGTGGAAGGGCTCGTCAGGGAGGCACACGCAGAACTGTGCCCCATCTCCTCTCCCAAGGCCGGTCAGCACTGCTCATGCCCAGCCACATCCCCATCTCCGGAGCTGTCAGCGCCTCTGTGCTGCACCGCTGGCTCACCGGCTGCCTCCCTTGGACTTGAGGCCCCAGAATGGACTCCAGTTCCCTGGGTTCTGGGCTGTGTCCAGCCCAGGCAGGCTGGGTGCTTTCTGCCCACAGCTGCTCCTGTGAGCTCTGAGCCTGAGCCTGGCCGGATTGAGCCCTCACAGTCGGTGCCTGGCACATCCACAGTGCCCCATGTCCACAGTGCCCCACCCCTGCCAGAAGCTTCCACAGACAGCTGTTTAAGTCCGCCCCCAAGAGCCTATGCTGAACCTGGGCAAGCTGGTGGGCACAGGCAGGACAGTGGACCAGGCTCAGCTCCCTCCATCTTGAGACCAGCAGAGCACCTGTCCCCCACCCACCCTTCTGTGCCAGTCCCCATGGTCCTGAGAGGATGCAGGAGAGGCAGGCGCAGGTGTGGAGACCAAGGCCCAAGTAGGTGCGTGGCCCCCACCGCACAACTACCCGAGTGAAGCTGGCTTCCAAATCCATGTTGGGCCCCCTGGTGATGATGACCACCATCCCCGCCAGCCCACACACCGGTCAAGGGAGGTGACCATGACCCTGTTTCCCCTGCTAGCCTGGCTAGGGCCCCCAGGCTTCCCATAGCCAGGCTGCTCCCAGAGTGGTCCGGGGTCTGCCCTCTGGCTCCCAGGCACCCCAACCCCGAGCCTGTAGCCTGTGATGCACCCACCCCCACGGCCAGGAAGCAGAGAAGAGGAATAGCAGAGGAATGGGGGCATGTCCACTCTGTGGGGGTCAGTGGTGGAGCAGAGGGAGTTTGGCAGCACCCATGCCCAGGTGAGGCCCTCAGGCCCCCCTCCCCCACTCAGTAGAGCTGCCCAGTCACAGCAGCATAACCTCAGGGCCCCAGCCATGCCTCCAAGGGCACTCCACCATGGCAAGAAACAGGGGCGGGGCAGAGGGCGGGATAGGGGGGTTCTCGGGCAGGGACAGTCATGGAGGCCTGCAGTCCCCCTGTGGGAGCTGTCCCGGGGAGGAAGGGGGTGCGCAGGAAGGCTGGTGAGGCAGGGAGGGGCCCAGGCCTGGCCTGCCAGGGGCGGTGGGCAGGGTGTGTACCTGTCTTCTGTGCTGAGTTGGGGGTGGGCCTCAGCGATATCCAGGCTTTTACTGAACACTGCCTTACTACAGCAGGAACAAAGCGAGAGAACAGAGTTACAAGCCGCAGCTCTGCCGGGACCACCAAGCAGCACAAGGCTGGGGGCGGCGGGGGGTTGTGGGGGGGGGCAGAGGCAGATACTGCTGGGCATAACCCCTTGTCTGACAAATATGGGCGGGATAAGCAGACCACCAGCCCCAGGGTCCCTCCCAGCCCTGCAGGTGGCCCAATGGCCGTTGTAGACAAGCTGGGGCTGCAGGCGACCAGGCTGGGATGGGGGGTTTCCTGTCCCCCACCTGCCTGGGACAGGGGGTGCACTCGGCTGACTGCTGGGATCTACTGGGGGCTGCCGGCCACTGCACAGTGGGCCTGGGTTGCCTAGGGGCCCATGGGCAGGGTGCATCCAGGACAGGTATGAGGCAGAGTGGGCCTGCAGGGCCTCCTCCCACCCCCTCAAGCTCCAGAAGCCAAGGGCGGCTCAGTCAGGGCCTGGTCCCATGGGAAAAGTGGGGAGCGAGCCCAGGGGGCCCAATGTCCTGTGATTCCCAGAAAATTCCCAGGAGCAAGTCTGACCTCACTCGTAGCATGGGGGCAGGGTGGGGGGCAGGGGGTTCTGGGTCAGGACCTCATGCCTGGCTCCCATGTCCCTCATGGACTGAAGCCCCACCCAGGAAGCTGTGAGTGGACACCCTGCCTGGTCCCGTAGCCGGGCCATCACTCCTGCAGCACTTTGTATCTGGCCTGGAGCTGGGGTGGGGCTTCTGCTCCTCATCCCCAGGGGCCCAGGCAGAACAGGACTGGTTAGTCAGCCCAGTCAGTCAGGCTCAGCTTGCTCACCCAGTTCATCCGGCCACCAGGCCCAGCCCATCCAACTCTACTCTCGCAGCTCAGTCCAGCCCCGCCCAGCTCTGTGCAGCTCAGCTCAGCCCCGCCCCCACCCAGCTCAGCCCAGCCCAGCCCACTTAGTCATGCCTAGTTCAGCCCAGCTCAGCCCTGCCCTCCCAGGCCAGCCAGGTCCACCCAACTAAGCCCAGATCAACCCAGTGCTCATGCCGAATGGCCCAGCCCAGTCCAGTCCTGTTGTGTCCAGCCCAGCTCAACCCAGGCCAACAAAGCCAAGACAGCCCAATTCATCCCCACCCTGCCCGGTCAGCCCAGGGCAGTTAAGCCTGAGGCCAAGCCACCCTGCGCAGCCCCACCCAGCCTGGCCTCTCTGCACCAGCCTCAGCCCAGACCCTGAGCCAGTGGGGTCCAGCCCAGCCTTCAGCAGGCCTGGCCTTGAGCAGTGCTTCTCGGAGGGCACACGTACCTCTGGCCGTGCTGGGCCATCTCGATGGCCCTTCTGGCGGGCACGGGGGAGCCACCGTCGGTCACGCTGAGCACTTCCATAGACTTTCGCTCTGGCCGCCGCTTGCCGTGCCTGTTCAGCATGGGCGAGTCCACGCGCTTCCTGGGGGGGTCTGCACACAGGGGGGAGGGGTCAGGCTCAGCTGGGCTCCTGGTGCGGGGGTGGCCACCGGGCTGCCCCTGGGCCTCGTACCTATCTCATTCCTGGGGGGCAGGTCCTCATCCTCATGGCTTGGGTACCGCTCCTTCCGGTCCAACAGGAGGAAGTAGATCATTTTCTCCTGGTTCTCCCTGGGGTGGGGGTGGGGTAGGTGACAGGGGGTCCACTCTGGGGTCACATGTCAGTTCCTGCCCCCTCAGCCCCCTCAGCCTCTCCCTTCGGACTCTGGGGCCTGTATTGGAGAGGGCAGCATGGGCCACCTGCAGACATTTCCCAATCTGGTCCCTGGATCCCCACCCTGGCTGGTCCATGGACCTAATACTTGTACAGCAGGCCCCGCCCCTTCCTGGCCCTGCCCTTGGCAGACTCCGCAGACACCAAGCCCCGCCCCTCCTTGGGCCCCGCCCTCAGATGTACGCAGACATCAGACCCACCTTCGGACATACTCCCGCAGACAGCAGACCCTGCCTTTGAATGCCTCCTCCCCAGACCCATCCTGAGGGGTACTCAGACATCAGGCCCTGCCCTCGGACATATTCCACAGACAGCAAGTTCCAGCCCAGCCCTTAACCGCAACTCTAAGGCCTGCCCGCTACTGTCAGCCACGCCTTCTCCCTGGCCCCACCCCCTCCACCACAGGCCCCGCCCCGACGTACTCCTCCGACAGCAGGTCCTGCAGTAGCTTGTTGCGGTCCCTGAAGCAGCCCAGCGAGTGCATACTGTCCAGTACGTCCGGGTCCAGATCCTCCAGGCTGGGCAGCGAGCGGATCTGTACCTTTCGGGGGACGGGCTGCTCTGGCTCCGGCTCGTTCTTGCCCCCTCTGTGGATGACACGGCGCCGCCAAGGTTACTGCCTCTGGGGGGGCGGCCCAGCACTCCTCCACCCCCACCCTGAGTAGGCTGAAAAGGGTGCGAGGTCCGGCCCTGGGCTGGGACCTGGGGTCCTGCCGCTCTCCCTGTGCCCGGGCCCTGCACGCCTCCTGCGTCCTGCCCGCACCCGCGGAGGCCAGCGAGGGCCCTGGCAGCCCGGTCAGCAGGACCTGCCCTGGGCCAGTGCCCTCCCCCCTTCCTAGCGGTCCTCTGGCCACAGCAACAGGCAAAGCAGGCGATTAGTGGGTGAAAAGCTACTTACATATACCATATGTGTTTCTGAATGTGCTCTAGCTACAAGGAAAGAGAAACAGGGAGTTAGTATGGAGGGAGGAGGAGGGGGAGGGGAGCCCGAATTAGGGGGAGCGAGGGGGTCGGGAGAGGGGAGTAGGAAGTGGGGGGCGGGGCGGGGGAGGAAGGGTAGGGGAAAGTGGGCAGGGAGGAGGTTGAGAGGAAGGCAGGTAAGGGGGAAGGGCTGGAGGGGAGAGAGGAGGCAGGAGGGGGTTGGGAAGAAGGTGAGGAGGAAGGTGTCTCATGGGGGAGAGGTTGCTCCCAGAGACTCCAGGCCAGTAGCCCTGCCCCCTAGTGGGGAGGAAAGCTAACCTTGACAGAGGCCAGGGGTAGGGGTGGGGGTGGGGCTCCAGGCAGAGCAGGGGCCAGCAAGGAGGGGGAAGAGCTGGGCTGCCAGGATCCCCCCTGACGCTGGGCAGCCCTGGAGTGGGGACGCCTGGAGGGAGGAGGGAGGGTGGGGGGGGGGCGGCCAAGAGGGCCTGGTCCACCTGTGTGCAGGGCGGGGCTGGGGTGCAGGTGCGAGCAGGAGGCCCGGAGGGCAGCCCCAGCCACAGAGGTCAATCTCTTCCCAGAGCAGGGGCCAGGGAGCTCCCATCCTAAAAAAGGCCGGCCCATGGCAGTCCCTACCCTGGGAAGAGCCGTCTGGGTCCAGCCCGGCTTAGGAGTAGCCCAGGGACAAGCTCGGTGGCTTCCCTCGGACCCTCTTGACCCCACGGCGTCTGGGTGCCTGCAGCAGCCCGCCTCACTGCCCCAGGCCATGGAAGGTGCCAGCCACCTGTGCCTTCACGGCCTCCTTTGGGCCAGTGACAGACATGGGTCCGTCACCCGCCTGTGCACACACAAAGGGCACCCACATACCTCTACATCTAGGTGCACACACCGTGACCCCCCTGGTTCCACAGGCCCTGGCCTGCTCCTCATGTGGGCACTCATCACATGTACCCATGTGCACACACAGCTGTGCTTACAGGTGCATACTCAACACAGGCACAGGCCTGCTGCCCTGCCACTCACCTGTCCCCGCACGCATTTACCTGTGTGCATCTACACATGCACACATACACCTATGCACATACGTCCCTTTGCACGCACACACCTGTGCATACAGATGCACACATCCCAAGCCCAGTTCCACAGCTCAGGCCTTCGCCCAGCGCCCCGCCTCTGCTAGCAGAGGTCTTTCTCTGGAGACAGGTGGTGCCCCCCGGTGGGAGCCCTGGGGAAGCTGCGGACTGAGCCAAGGGCGGGTCTCAACCCCAGCACGCACCGTGAGGCGCCGAGCGGCATCCACCTCGATCATGCCCCGGAGCAGGCTCTGGCAGTCGGGCGGGATGAAGTGGGGCATGTGGAAGACGCCTCGTTTCACCTTCTCCAGCAACTGCCGCAAGTTGTCGTCATCAAAGGGCAATGCCCCCTGCAGCGGCGCGGGGTGGTTAGCATGGCTGGCTATCGGCCAGCACCGCGGACAGCTCCGCGCGGGCTGGGTGGGCGTAGGTAGCTGGGCCAGGGCGCAGGAGTGGGGTTGGGCATCGGGGCGGGGGCGGGGGGGAAGGGGCGCAGGGGCCTCACCACGAGCAGGGCGAACAGGATCACACCGCAGCTCCACACGTCTGCTTTCCGGCCATCGTACTTCTCGCCCTGGGGATGGTAAGGCCTGGGTCGTTGGCTGGGGCGCACGGCTGGCCCAAGGAGGGTGAAGAGGCTCAGGGGGCGGATCAGGCGGGAGCTGGGCCCCTGGGTGCCCACCCTGGGTGCGGGAAGGCCCTCTTGGGCAGGGCAGAGGTGCGGCCCAGGCTACTTACCCGGATCACCTCGGGGCAGGCGTAGTGGGGGGACCTGAAGGGAATACACCTGTTAGGAGGCGGGCACTGCCCTCCAGCAGCCCCTAGACTCAACCCCGGGCCCACCCCTCACGACCCCTGCTGGAGACTGAAGAGATCCACGGGGCTTCTCCGTAGCACTGTACAGCCCCCTCCAGCCCCCCAGCTTGCCCGGGACCCCGTGGATGCGTCAGGTTGCACATACGCCGAGGCTGGGCCCTGTGGCCACGAGCAAGAGAAGGCTGCCGGGACACTTCAGAGTCGCTGGGCCCAGCTCGCCCACCCCGCGGCCCCTGGGATTGCTCCTTGGAGGAGATGAACAGGTGGCCTGCACAGCCTCATTAGGGCAGTCCTGGCCACTAACTCCATGGCACAGAGGTGGGGTCTGTACAGAGGGTGGGGCTTTGCTAAGGGAGGGGCCTGGACGGAGGGGGAGGGGCCTGTGGGGAAGGGAGCCAGCGGCAAGAGGAAGGGCCTGCACAGAGGTGGGGGGATAAGCCCGCTTTCACGCCCAGACAGAACAAGTAATCGCCTGGCCAGGGCAGCCTGTAGTAATGGGGCATGGCCCAAGGACTTCTGGGCGTCTGCGGGTCCATTCCCTCTGACCCCCGTATCCCCTTGCAGAGCCCAGACTGTGAGCTGGGGAAGGAAAACGGGCGCCAGGCCCCTCCCCAGACAGGGGGTGAGGCGGGCTCCAAGGTGGCTTCGGTGGACAGGAGCCTCACGGCAGCCCTCTCGTGGGTCCAGGCGTCCCCGAGGGCCGGGGTGCAGCACCCGAGGCGGCCAGTAGGGGGCGCGCGGCGGCCGTGGGAGGCTGCGGGGTCCGGCGGGCGGGCTAGGCAGGTGCGCAGCAGCCAGCAGCGGCCGAGCGGGGGCTGAGCGAAGGGCGGTGCGCCCACTTACCCGCAGCTGGTCTCCAGCAGGCTGTCGCCAACCTGCAGCGACGCCATGCCGAAGTCGGCGATGCGGATGTTGTTCTTCTCATCCAGGAGAAGGTTTTCTGGTTTCAGGTCTCTGTGACTGGGGTGGAAGGAGGGTTGAGGCTACGTGGTGGAGGGGGACACGTCCACTTCTCCCCTCTGGAGCCCGCGCGCCGCGGAGATGCCCCGTGGCCATAGGGCTCTGGGCTCAAAGCTCATCTCTCAGGGTCTTTGGGCTAGTCCCCTGGCCCCCAAGCCCCCAGCCCCATCTCCATCTGCTTCCCCTCCCCCAATTCCAACAGACACAGCCAAGGGGCCAATGGCAGCCTAGCTTGGTGATGTCACAGCCAGCCAATCAGAAGTCATCTGCCGGTCGTCTGCAAGCTGGTCTTTGGGAAGAAAGGGGCGCGGGGGTCCTGCCTCCAGGCTTCACTGGCACCTCAGGCTGCCCAGCCTGGCCTGCTCCAAGCTCCACCGTGCCCCACCCAATCTGCCCAGGGCATTCGCTGAACACCTGACTTGTTTCAAGAGAGAGCTGAGGCCCCCAGACACTGGAGGAGGGGAGTCCTTGGACTTGCCCCCTAGAAAATGGGAAGAGGGACTCCTGCAGCCTTGGGTGGGCACCTGGCAGAAACCTTCCTGATGTCTCTCCGCACCCCAAGGATCAGGAGGGGGGGCACTACTCCAGGAAGGCTAGAGGGAGGGAGTGGGTGGGGGGCAGGTGGGGGAATATCGGGGAGGAAGGGGGAAGTGTTGGAGAGGGGGTGTGGTACTTTAGGGGGGATGGAGGGCTCTGGAAGGGGCATCTCATAAGTTGGGGTGCACCCAAGAGGAGGAGGTGCCTGGCAGGGAAAGGGGGTACCTGCGGGGGTACAGCAAGTTGAGTGGGCAGGGGCTGGGGCACAAGAGTCTCGCACCATATGGAGTGGCTGTGGCAGAAGTCCAGCGCAGAGATGATCTGCCGGAAGAACTTGCGAGCCTCTTTGGGGGTCAGCCTCCCCTTCTTCACCAGGTAGTCGAAGAGCTCCCCCCCAGACACGTGTTCTAGAACCAGGTATCTGCAAGGGACATTGGGGGATGTTGGGCTGACGCACATGGGAACCCAGCCCGTTCCAGGGGGCCACCACCCCTGGCCAGCACTGTGCTGGCCAGAAGCTGCAGCCACCACTCATGGGCACCCCACACACACACATCATCCACCATTCAGTGCAAGGAACCCCACCAGCATGACCCCCAGCCCTCAAAGCCACTGCCATCCTAGCTCCCCGGAGCCTGAGAGCCAGCTCTCTGGTCAGGCCCCCTCTGGCCCTCGGTCTGGACTGGGAGGAAGGACAGGGCAGCTGGCAGAGGACCCTTCTGTGTGCCCGGGACCCAGGAGCAAGGGGCAGCAAGCCATGGGGTGCAAATGTCAGGTCCTGTCTGCTGCTGGAGAAAGGGATTGCCAGCCCCACCCCCTTTCACCCCCAGGCTCAGCTCTGGGGCGCCAGTGGAATCCAACAAGCTTTCAGCCCATGGAAGTGGGCGGGGGGCGCTCCAGCAGGGCAGAGCTCCAGGCACGGGGCTTGGGATGGGGTTAGTCCTTGAGTCTATCTGCTTGGGAGGGAAGAGGCTGGGGTGCCTGGCCCAGCAGGTGCAAGGAGATCAGGTTTCTTGGGAGGGGTCTCTAAGGGGACGGCCCATGGCGCTGGGTTCTAGGTCCAGCGTCTGTCCTGCTCAGCACCCACCAGGATCGCCTAGAGCTCCCACATCCTCCACTTCCCAGTTGCTGACCAGGGGCTAGCATGCA